CTGCAGCGGGAAGAAGAAGAAGAAGAGCAGAATCGGGCTGAGCAGAAAGAGGAAAAGGAGAAAAAGAAATAAGCCATCCTTATCCAATTTCTACTCTGTTAAGTCCCTCAACTTTTGAACATTTTGCTATTAAGCCCCAACATAATATTTTCCTCACAAATTAGTCCCTAACTCACTTATTTATCCTAGAAATTTTTGGGGTATCACAGTAGTAAATCTATTCATTCAATCCTACAAAATCTTTTGATATCAGTTATTTTTACTCCAAACATTTCTTTATCTAAAAATAAAAATTTTAGAACTACTAAAACCATAAAAATAGAGCATCAAATAAGTAAAAAGGGTACTTTCAGTCAACACAAAATAGACAAGAAACATGTTCTTTATACTTCCTTTATTAGGCTCTAAGACAACCATTTTTGTGATTTGTGATTACTTTCTAGCGATTTTCTCTAATGCAATAGACTTGTGCTTAGTGCACTCATATTATCTTCCATTTTGAAATCATGTAAAGTGACTATTCATTAAAAAATGCCATGTAATTTTCTTTTCACAAAATTTCTCACCATCAAATAGAAGTTTAATGAGCATCTTTAATGCAGGTGGTTTTACACCGATCAAAAGTCCATTGCCATCTTGAGGTACCAATCCATCCAAAAAGAAATGGCAATATGAACATATGTAAGCTTTTGCCTAAATGGTATCTACCAACTTTAATCCTAGGGATCGCAAAACAAAAGTTGTTCATGGAAATATTTTCATTGGGGTGTAATTAATATAATCTAAGGTACAAGATATATAACTATGTAGTCTATGTTCTAGGATATCACCATAAAAGTGAAAATTATCATGGCAAAACTAATTAACCAAATAAATACCATATTAGTGCTTTCATGTTGAGCAAGTTAAGGACAAAATTTAGCATTAACCTAAAAATAAATATTATTTTGGACTTACTTAATTAGCCCAAATAAATTTAAATACTTAAAAAGCTCAATTAATTAAACTTTGAGTGGAATAATTGTAAAAAGATAAGACACTTATTGGGGTATGAATTCAAATATCATTATACTACTCAAATTAAAGAACTCTATGATAATTAGAATACTTTTCAAGGAGCTATGTTCCTGATAAATGTCTTCCTCAAGCTAGGAGTCCCAAGTCTTAGCTGAATTGGGATTCTTTATAGAACCCTTCTCCCATAACACATAATATTGGTGCAAACTTCTAAACTCCTATCACAATGGCAATGTGATAAATCACACAAATGTGAGAGGGACCTAGTAACCTATCGTAGCCCCTCCAAGTGGTAGTAAGGTTAAATTTTTTACAAACATTTTCATGACCAATTTATTGTATAATACAATCCTTTCATCATCCTATATCTAAATTGAAAGCAAAACATGAATGTTTTTCATCTCTATGATGGTTCCAGAAAATGAGACATGTCATCTTTACATATATGTTGAATCTCAATTTCCTTGACTCCCATTGCCATGAAGACATGCTTACTTGAATGAAAAACCATTCCTACCAACCAAGGCCATGAATTTAAGCTATCATCTCTAGGGTCAAGATATCAACCCTCAATTCTAAAAGCAACAAATCTTGTCTTGACCACGCACTACCCTCATACAATTCATGAAATACCCAACTATAGTATTACTTGCAACCTATGACTATTGCTAGGTTTAACTGTCTTAAAGTACAACAATCCCTTCATAATGAATGATGACAATAAGTCAAAGGATCAATTACACTATCATGATGAGAACAACTAATGACATTAAGCATGTAGTTTTCTCATGTAGGTGGATCAATCTAGTACTTCTTGTTGCATTTTGATAATAAGCACTCATATGCAAAGCTTTGACTTCACATATCCTTAATTAGCAAGTTTAATTAACATGTCATTGCATACAATTTCTCCCTAGCCTATTTTGTATGAGCTTGCCCTGGCTTTTAAGCTAAGAGGTATTCATAACTAGAATACAAAACAAAACCAATAACATTATAATTGACAACCAAAGTTTTGTCTTAGTTATAGGACTATAACTGACAACTTTATTGAAACACAAATCCTAGAAATTGTATAATGCATTATATTTAATAAATAGAAAGGTTGCCCATTATGTTTATTCAACATAACTAGCATATTTTTAGTTTGTCAGTTATATTAATAATTTTTTAAAAAATAATATAACAAATACTTATAACTAGCATATTTAAGCTATCGATTGTATAATCAATATTTTAATAATTTAAAAATGACAAAATATATTTATGTATAATTGATAACTATTTTATTGATTTAGTATAACTAATGAAGTGTTTATTGATTATACTAAGTATAATTTGTAGGTCATATTAGGGTTCAAGGTTTTAGGGTTTTAAGTAGTTTTAGAATTAAAATTTTTACTTTAAAGATTAAAGAATTCAAGTGTAGGGTTTGTTAAGTGTCATAGGTGTTAGGGTTGGTTTTATACTTGTGTGTTTTGGTTTAGGGTATAAAGGTCTAATTAGGCATGAGAGCTTAAAGTTGGTTTAATATTTGTGTTAGTGTATGTGTATGGAAGCTTGGTTTTTTTGGTTTAAGGTTTATGATTTTGAGTTTAGAAAATTAATGGTTTAAGGGGTTAAAGGTTTAATTAAGTATAAAGGATATTGTTTACACCATAAATTGCTTTTTTAAAGTGATGCCACGTGTTAATGAATAAGGTGAGATCAGACCTACTGAAGGGATGCATATCTGTAAAAATTGGTTGGAAGGATAAAAATTATCTGGTTTGTTGCAGTTTGAATTTAAAAGAAACAGAAATCCCTAAAATTTAGGAGGAAGTTCAGTTGAGGAGTTATTCATGATTTGAACAACCAGTGAGTAAAATAGGGAGGTAGTTCGTAGGAAGTATATAAATAGAAGCTTTCTGATTTTTCAACGGACATGGCTAGCCCTACACAGAACTCATCAACTTTTCAATTCTCTAGTTTCATTGTGATTGCTCACTTTAGCTTTCATATTTCAGTTTTAGCACAGATCCCAGTATCTTTAGGTTGTTTTCAAAATTCAAGTACCCAAATTAGTTTGCGTAATTGCTTCTTTGATTTCCTTTCATGCAATAAACATCAAGTTTTCTCTAATTTGCATGTTATTTAATTCATTTTGGATCTATTAACTTAAATTCACGATAGTGGTAAAGTCCTTGAGATTGTCCAAGGCAAATTAGCAACCCATTATGTAAAAAGGCATCCCTTCCTTTTGCAAATTGTTAAAAGGGCGCAAAACTCAATCTTAAACCAATGTTCTTTCATCCATCCTAACAAAGGTCGACTGTGTGTAAGGAGAGAGTCGTTGGGAAAATCCTTTTTTCTTGGTTTTCAAAAAAGTAAATGGCACGCCTACATTCAGATTTCGTACATGCAAAGCCACTTATGGATTTTTTTAGGAAACAGTTACCTATTAGGATTTCAGGTTCAGGGTCAATTATATTTGTATAATTGACAACTGTTCTATCAATTTAGTATAACTGATATAGTGTTTATTGAATTAGGATTTTATGGTTTAATTGGTCATAGAATTAAGATTTTCGCTTTAAAGATTTGAGGATTCAAGTTTAGTATTTGT